AATTTCTTTTTATACAGTGTTGTTGTGCTTTGTGCACATATTTAATTTATAATATTTCCATAGTTATTAATTTATTTGAAAATAAAATCATTTGAACCTGCAGAAAAATTCTTAAAATAATATATTAATATATATATAGTAATTCTTATCAATTTTTACAAAGTTAAAAATAATTTTAATTTACAAAAAAACTTATTTAAAAAGAAAAATATGGGAACGTTTTTAAATTAAATTTGCACAAACAACTGTTATTATAAGCTATAAAAATATTGGACCATAATCCATTTGCAGTATATTAATTTATATATACGGGAAAATTTTTTTAATAATATATAAACTAAAAAAGAATTAAAATAATTTTGTTTTATTACATTCCCATGTTATTATTTGATAAATTGCGGACCTTTATGTTTTAATAAAATCTCATCAACCATCGTATTGTCGATAATAGTGTTGTTGAAGAACGGGTGGATTTGAACAGATTTTTAATAACGGCTATCAATAATTTTATCTAGAATAGTATTTCTCAACCCTGAAGATTTTGCTTAGAGACGGTACCAAGGTCTAGACATCAATTAACGCAATCTCGAAACTTGAGCAATTTTTTTTTGACTAAAATATTGAGTAAAATATCCATTGATCGCTTTAGGATCTTAATAAAATCATTGGATTATACATCGTTCCTCTTCTTATCCGATAATTTGGGAAAATTTATCTAAAACCACACAATATTATCCTGAAGAATCTAATACAGTTGAAATTATTGATATAACATCGTAACCAATATTAACTTCCCACAGCACTGGAAAGAAAGTTTTTTTTTTTTAAATTAGCTCCCATGACTTTCAAGTCTTAATTGACACGAACAAGCTGTCGATCACCCAATAAATTAAGAATAGGGATTCGAACAACATTTCATTGGACATAACCTCCACAACAGTTATCCGCAAATCCTTTTAAGATAGAGATGAATTGGAGGGTGGGGTTGGGGGGAGAGTGAAAAATTTATAATTTAGATATAAAATTGGGCACTTTATCCGATCTCTTTATCGCGCAGCTGGGCCCCCTTTAACCCGCAAACCTTAAACTCAGTTAACTAGGAAATATCTTCCACATCCGGCCGCTGAATTATATGGTGTAAAAAAACCAAATATTTGAAATCGCCATTATTAGATATAAAAATCAAAAATATGAGTATAAAATAATTTTTTTTTAAAAACCCGGGTCCGGGCCTGAATATATAAAACCCGGGCCGGGACAAAAAAATTCGGATAAAAAACCGGGCCGGGTTAAGGCCGGGTTAGGGCTATGCAAATGGTACCTCAGCAGGGTCTCTGCTAAAAAATAGATTTATATAATAATAAATATTTCGGATATCAAATCATTTTATTTTAAAAATAGAGATATATATATAGAATAGATTATATACAATTTCGATTAATTATAATTAATCGCTTTTCTTAGCAAATGCACTATTTAGTCATACCTAGTGTTGTTAAAAAGTCGAGTTCATCCAACTCCGACCCAGAGTCTCGATACCCAATGAATGACATCTATACCTAGACTGACGATGGATTTATAATTAATATGAAAGGGTCCATGAAATGCAAATCAGCTGGACGCGCCATTTTGGTAATCCATATGGTAATTATTCTCATTTATTAAAAACTACTATTAAATCGTGCTTCCTATCTAGATGATCATGCGATTCTTTAAATAAAATTGAGTCAGACATAGGAATAAATTGGCCTCTTTTAAAATTTTTAATAATGATAATGGGTAACCAATATGGCGTCCCCAGCTGTTTTCATTGATGTATACACTTTTGATAGAATGCTAGGTATTATTATCATATGTCATTTGGTCATATACCCTTTTAATAAGTTTTGTTTGATCGATTTATTCTTTACTATTATTCTCTACACTCAAAAACATGATGGTTGTTATTTATTTCCTCGGTGTCAAACTATTTCTTGATAAATATATGAAAGCCCTAACCATCGGACTTTTTTTTCAAGCAACAATCTTACCAATTAGTGTTGTTAAACGACTCGTTAGGAGCAGATCTTTAAAATAGGCTCAACATTCTAGCCAGAAGAATAGGAGCCTCAGCCTCGAGATTAATCTAATAGATGTCTTAGACCTTCGTGCCTTTCTACCTGAACAAGATTCTTCGGGCTTGCCCTAATATTTCCTTGGAAAATCGGCTCGAATCTTTAAAAACATTTATACACTAATTATCAACGAAATTTTCGAAAATGATTTAAATGAAGACTTATCTGGGGTTCTGTTTAACCATTCCTCGATGTACGCGTTTGATGAAAAAGTTTTGGAAAAAAAAATGATTATCTATTTCGAGATAGTAAACCAATTAAAATCCTTTAAAATATTCATTGACAGAATGTAAAAGAAGAACAAAAAATCCAATTAAATTCCGAATGAAAAATAATTTATTTAATTGTATATGAGAGGTAGGATTCAATATCTTGATCTTTAGTCAGAGCCTCTAGAAGAATTTGAAATGTATCCAATTGATGAAAATTTAAACATGTTCCCGAAATGGTCGATTATTGAAAAGTCTTAGATCGTTTACTAAGAAATCAAATGAGATGTGTTTTGTGCGGCAAAATTCACCAAAAAAATGGCTCAAAATATTTCTCCGATATTTTAATCCTCTAGCAAAATAGCCAACTTACTAATTATAGTAAGCTCCCTTTTTCTATACCAGCTTATAATGCTAAAGGTGAAAGAATCTTCTTCTTTGATTTATAGTCAATGGAAAAATTGAGAGAAATAGATCACCCGCGGAATTTATAAAAAACAATTTTATGCGCGCGATATATTCTACAAATTTTCCTAGAGAAAATGCTAAATATATACCATGAAAAATATGGAATAAAATAAGAATTTTAAATTCAATTTTAATTATTTAAATGTTATTTATATAAAAATGCAAAAATAAATAAACTGACCGCTTAAAAATTCAATTATATATGTATATTTTTGAAATTCATGTTAAAGAAAAAAATTGTGTTCTCTTTTCCACTCCAATCTGCTAACACTGGCTGAAGTGGAGATACTTTGAAATTTAAAGCTGCCACTGCATGATTTAAGAAATACGCAATATTTATTGAATGTTTATTTGCCCAAAAGTGGTAAAATTATTTATATCTTCACTTATAACATTTACAATTCCGTCGTTACAAATTTTTGTATGTTGAATCCTAAGATACTCAATTCCATATCAAAGATATCACGATTTAATTTATCAATAATTTTTGAAGGTGGAACAATCATTTCGAAATAGACAACGATATAAGTTTTTCGTTCTTCAATAACATATCCCAATTTAATAAAGATTATTTATCCCTTATTCCTTAATTCAGTTTTTGTATAGGGAAATTTTATTTAACACAAAACATATTTATAGGCCTTGCCGATAGCTAAAAAAAATAAGAAAAAAATTATTTAATTTATAAATCTCTGTTCTTTTGACTTATCATTCAACTAGTGCCGTTAAATTACCTATCATTGACCATCTCTATTGCTTCTTAGTCAAACACTTTTAGACCAAAAAATTGAATTAAGCATCTAAGTTGTGTCCCCAACTTGAAGATTGATTAGAATAATTCTGGATAAAAATATGGCTGTTTTAGAGTGACTAAAGATGATAGTTAGTTTAACAACACTACATTCAACTCATTTAAAAAAATTAAGGAAAAACTTTATTATACGATAAACACCTATAATTTTTTATACGATTTTTGTTGTAATCATTAGGGGAATTTTGCAGCAAGGTTCCTGACATCAACCCCCTCCCCCTTTAAGTGGTTTTTACAACCCCGTCGAAGAGACGGTCATCCAATTCTAGACCCTGACACCAGGGAACCTTCTAGACCTCCGTTAGCCGCCAAAATAGGTTGCCACTCCCCCGCCACGATGAGACTGAAGACAGGATTTTTGGGATAGCTGTTTGTATTATCATTTTATTTAATATAAATGTAACTTGTAATATTTTTGGATTTAAATCATATGTTTTCCTTATTGACCACAACTTGAATAACTTGCGAATACTGAAATGTTCTCGATATTAGAATCAAGGATCGTCATTTAAACCATTGCCATTTGGGGAACCATTGAGTTTAAGATATTATGATTCACTTCACACTTTTAAAAAATAAATATCATTTTAATACTTTTACGTATATATAACTAACTAATACTGTTTTTTATAATTAGAACTGTTTTCAAAATACCGCAAAATCTAAATTTATTTTATTTCATTTTATCTTAAAATGGATAAAACTTTATCCTTTCATGGAGAGTAAAAATTATCCATTCGTGGTGGTTTAGAATTAAGATTTGTGTCAATATTTCCACACATTAAATAAATTTTAAATCCTCAAAATTTATTTAGTTTTTTTAATTTTATTTTGAGAGGACATTATCTGCCCCGGGATGACATTATCACCCGTCTTCTTAAAGGTCCGTTCAGGGCCGTTCCCAATATACTCTCTAGAATTAAACAGATGTTTTCGTGCCGATTCACTCATTTACCAGGATTTCCTAAGTTTTTTTTTTGCTTATATTTATCAGTAAATATTAACAAATTTTTTATTTTATAGATAATAATATTCCTATTTTAAATAAATGAAAAATATTTCTTTTTTATTTAGGTCATTAAATTAATAAAATTTTAAATAATTTTTCTTTTTTTTCGTATTAAACTTTGGAATAATTTTCCTTGACATTATTACTCCTCTCAAAAAATATAGTTATGTTAATTATAATTACTTCTATTATATGGTGGTAACCAATTAAATTTCAAAAAACTGTTTTAAATTAACTCTTTTAATTATTATATAATATTTTGGCTAAAAATAGGTTTTTTTAATTATCATTTTTGTAAATTATTTCTTAATTTTTATTTTTGGTTTTACATATTTTTATAGATATTATTATATAGAAGATTTAAGTCATAAAAAAACATCATATTATTAATGCATAATAGCATTGTACAAAAAATAATTATTTGTTTCCTGGTTAATTTTTACCAATTTGGATATTCTTACGTTCCTCGTGATAATCATCAATCACATTCCCATCCAAATAAGCGTAAATGTTAAAATGTTTCATTCATGTATGAATTACAGAGATAAATATCCAGAGATAAAACTTTCTTTGTTAATAGTCATTTACCACAATATTTCTTTGTTTCAAAGAGTTATAAATATATGCAAATTAATGAGTTAACTTTAAAAACATATACTTAGAAAAAAATACAAAAAGTGACATCGAGCGATACAAAACTCTTGTCGGAGTAAAGAATGGACCTATAGATGTGGTAGCACTTTTAGAATTGTTTTACGATAGCACGACAGATTACCAGTGTGCGCTATCCATCTCTGTGGTAAATTTTAATCATTTTATATTACATTATTGGGGAAGGGGAATCGTATAGACCTGCAGGCCTGGTCCTAAGCCTGACCCGGCCCGGCCCGGATATTAATTTTTTTTAAAAAGATATCCGAACCGGGCCGTATATTTTTAAAACCGAATATTTGAAACCGCTATTATTAGCTATAAAAAATCAAAAATAAATAAAAAATATATTTAAAAAAAATCCGGGCCGGAAAAAATTCTTGATAAAAAAAATCCGGGAATGGTACCATCGCCGGTTCCTGAAATATATTAACTAAATAGAAAGACAAATGATCACTCTATAATCTTCTTACCAATTTACTCGGATATATCCTTTTAGAAGTTTTTCAAAATTAACACTGAAGTTTATTTCTCTCGTAAATCAGATGGGATTTTTTGAATCGGTGTTATTTAATCATTTATTTATTTTTTTTTATTATTATTACTCCGATGGCTCTTAAAAAAACGGCAGGGTTCGTTATATCAACTCGAGCGTAATAATCCGATAGGACCTTCGGGAGCGGGTTTCGGTTTGGCGTCCTATATTTCCGTTGCTAGGCTTGATTTGCGTTTGAATTCAGCAACCATACTCAACGACATTTTTGTGAGGCTAATGCCTATATACGATAAACCAGGTTATATTTATACGTATATTTCGTATAAAAAATACGGGGAAAAAAAAAATTGTTTATCATTTCAGTAAACGACATCAATTTGGAAAAGGCGTTGAATCTTGCCAAGATAGAGTTCGAAAAATCGGGCAGGTGTCATTCAATCAAACAAATCTGGATTTATCTTTCCGAAACATCGATTGGAAATCCGGAGGATCTAGCCAAAACTCTACGAGAAATGGGTACAAAAATATTGTTATCAACCACATTATATGTAAACCCTTCAAAAACAAAATTTTCAGGAATCGAGATATTTGTCTTCGCTATTGGGCCTAGGGTTAACCGTAAGCAAATAGAAGCAATAGCCTCGTCACGTGATCATATATTCTGGTATCCGAGTTATTGTGTCGCCCGACAATCTCTAGTAGAATTTATCAACAAAAAATTTCTCTAAGAGTCTGTTAATAAAATTATTTTTTTTTTAGTTGAAAAATTATTTTCGCGATTTGTAGAGAATAAAACTTAACAAATTAAATTTAAAATTTATTAATACTCTAGAACGGGTTTAAAGTTTATAAATTATGAATTTCCAGGGAAATATTTTGGAGTGTCGATGTTCATAAATTATTATCCTGTCTTTGGTATATCAACGTGGCAGCAAAGTGACAACCCCTCCATTAGGCGGCTAATAGACTTTCGCACATTTGGGGCCTGGAAACCCGAGTGTTTTAATAGGGCAAAAATTTTTTAAATATAAGCAAGTTAGTGCGCAAAATCACACAGGTGAGATGAAAGTCAGGAACAATCTTTTTTAACGCCATTCTCAATGTTCGCTCGTGAAGAGAAGAACGAGCTCTCACTGCTGACAGATGAGCGAGGCGAAAGAATTTAATATGTGGTTGGTAATAATAGCTTAGTATATCGGAACTTCATAATTTTAATGATGTCGATTTCTAAAATGAAACTATATTAGTGGGTGATTTGGGAATACCACAGACATAGGTAGAGGAAGATTTGGATATTAAAGATTTTATGGCAAAATTGTATATCTTTAGATGAATAAAGTTGGTGATAAGCGTTAATGATGGCTCAAGTCTTTGATTAGTAAAAAAGAAAGAAAAAATTATATAAATTTTGGCATACAGTAATTATTCATAATACATTATTTCTAGCTATGTGAAATAATAAAAAATATTTAAATTTATAAAAATAAGTCATTAATGTAATTGTTGTTTTTACATAATTTTAATTTATTATTTAACCTGGATTTTCCTTGACTTATAATTTCCTCTCAAAAAGTGAATTCGTAATGAATGAGTAACAATTTATCAAAATATATAATTTATTCATATTCAAAAAATTTTATTAAGCTTAAAAAAAAATATTTAAAAGGATTACATTTATTTAAAGACTAAAAATATTCCTTATTAAATGCATAAAGAAATATTATTTGTTCTGATAAAAAATCTTCTTTTAAGCCGGTTAATGGTATTTACCGTTGGTCGATATATAATAATAATGATCAAAGTTTTAACAAAATCACGCGGTCCCTTTTGGTAACGCTATATATCCTACCCTATAGCACGGGACCACCTAGTGGAGAAAAAAAAACTGATCCTTGCTGTAATTTGAACCAAGGTTGTCTATAAAATACTTCCTTAATCAATGGTCTATAGCAACCGAACCATAAGGCGCTACTCAAAAACAACAATTTTTTTTTGTATATAAGGATAAAATTAAGGCTATCTAATTATTTTATTATAGATAAATCAATAATGTTCAACTCTATACACCATTTACCTAAGTGGATTTAGGTATTTTTTTTTGTAATACAGTTACTGGGAACATTTTCTTATATATATTTCCTAAGTCTAAGCAACCCTTCTTTGTTCCTCGTCAAATAAAACACCAATGTTTTTCAGGGCCAATTTTAATTTTTCAAGGAAATATATATCGGATTCCAATTTTCTAAAGATGTAACGCCTAGAACGTTATAAATTAGGTATTCTTATTTAAATATTATATATCAGTCATAATTTTTCCTCGCATACAAAAAAAATTGTCGCTTTCGAGTAACACTGTGGCCTAATCAATGAATTGCGCATATTACCAAAGTATTGATCTGAGTTTAAATCAGGGATTCAAACCGAACCTGAATCAAACCGTTAGACTCCTAAATACCTCTGAACACTATTCGAGTCTCATAATTTTATGCTTATAAAATAATGTGTAAGTTATTACTAGTAGTATATTGCAAAAACTTTAATTTATTATTTTAAATTTATTATTATACTAATTAATAGATATTTAACTTTCATATAATGTCCGTTTGTTATAATTTCGTTATATCGACAATTCATATCAAGGAAAGTTATAATAATAGTAAAAAAAAATATAATATTAGTAAATCAAAATTATATAAAGTCATTAATACTTGCTATTTTTTTTTGATTAATTGAGATTCAAGTTCCCTTTTAGCGTTTCAAATTGTTTTAAAAATTATCATCAATCACATTTGATTATAAACGTCAGTCATAATTTTTATAAACTTTAGTATATCGCTATTTTACAATATTTTTTAAATATTTTAAGCTTATAAATTATAATGCCTAGAAAAAAATCAAATCTAAATTATTTACATATAGTATTATAAATGACACATCAAATCTGATATCATACTGGCAATGCCAGCTACCAAAGTTAGTGTGGAAAGATGTTTTTCAACAATTAAATTTATATTATCTCCTTATTGATGTAATTTGAGTTAGACGAATTTTGAAAATATTTTAATTGTGCGGCTTAATAAAAAATTTTTAAGTATTGTTCATATTAAAATTAATCATTGATATATTTATTTGTTATATTTATATATTAAAAATTTTTTCCTTATACATAATTCTAATGTAGGTTTGATTACAAAAGTGTTCAAACCGGTTTTTAGAAGTTCAAGAACCAATATTTTTATTTTTTGCGAACCGAACCTGAACCTTGAACCGTTAATGTGGGTTGAGTGCATATTCTTGTTTAAAGGATTTATTTAGGATATCATTCATTATTACATTAAAAATTATGCGAGAGAATGCATCCTTGTTTAAGGCCCCTATTTGCTTTAAAAGGTTGTGATTTTACATTTAGATGTTGAGGTACTACGCTATGATTGTCATAAATTATCTTAATTAGCGATATCAGATGCTTATCTATTCCTATGTTTTCCAGCAAGGGTCATATCTTGTGCTGTATAATGGAATCGAAGGCTTAACTTAAATCAATCATTAGGGCAAAGATGGGGGATTTATGCATTCTAGCCTTTTCCAGAATAACTTTAAGTGCCATAGTCAACTCGGTAGTATTTCTACCCTTCCTGTATGATGTGATAGTGTTAGAGAGGAACCTGTTGATGATTGGTTTAATCCTGACAGATATGATGTATGCGAACATTTTTAGGGTAACTGGAATGAGTGCAATACCTCTGTAACATAGTCAACTCCGTAGTATTTCTACCCTTCCTGTATGATGTGATAGTGTTAGAGAGGAACCTGTTGATGATGGTTTAATCCTGACAGATATGATGTATGTGAACATTTTTAGGGTAACTGGAATGAGTGCAATACCTTTGTAATCCTTAAGGCTGTTTGGGGTCTTGTTTTTAGGGAAGTTTAGTATTATTGATGTCATCCATTCGTGAGGAAAATAACCCGTTTTCCATATCTCCCTAAAGAGGGAAAGTAGTAAACTGGCACTTAGGTCTACATCTATCTTCCAGAGTTCTGCAAAGATCCTATCGACTCCAACAGCTTTATGCATTTTTAGTCGTTTAATGGCACCGATTATATCCAACTTGTTCAGGTTCTGACTGGGTGATTGGAAAGGGTAGTCACATATAGGCCTGGGCCACCTCGTTCTGTAGAGGTTCATGTAATGGTCTATCCATATGTCTAATTGTTCCTTTGGGTCAGTTATAATCTTATTGTTATTTTAGTGTAGTCTTGGTAAAGGATTGGTCTTGAAGGTGGTGAGTAGTTTAAGAGATTGGAAAGCCTTATAAATGTTATTGTTATCAAAATTGAATTGGATAGATTTAGATAAATTAACAATAAACAGCCTTTTGTCGGCCCTTATGCGGTGAGTAATGTACCTCCTGTGATGTTTAGCGTATTGATAATGGGATATATTTATTGTTAGGTTCTTAAGTATTTGTATAGTCGAAGGGGTGTGCCACTCTCTGCGTTTAATGCGTGTTCTTAAACATGATGTAATACTAACTAATAAATTCAGCTTAATGTCCTTCAGGTCAGATTTGGGTTAATCATGCCATTTAATGTATTCCTCCATGTTGCTAATTTAGTGACCTACTCTTCCTTCACCTCTAAGTCATTGAGCTGTGCCAAGTCTTTTCTGGCTATGAATCTTACACTGATGAGACATCTGTTTAATGTGATTTGGGAAAATGCTATTGTTGATTCTGAGTTCACAGCCCAATGGGTAATAGTCTGTAAAAAGTGTATGGTTTAGTTTACTGACTACTCTGTTGTCTCTTACCCACTTTAGGATCTTTGTGGAAATTACAAAGTAATATATCTGTGAGGTAGTGTCAAAGGAAGGACTCTTGTAAGTCATGATGTGATGAATAGGATGCTTGAAAAACGTATTTCCAATTTTCATGTTGAAGAGTTCACAGATTTCTATTAACCTTTTACCTTTGGGGTTAGTACTTTGTATCAATGCGGCGTTTCCAAGGCAGGGAGAATTATTAGGTTTGCCTACTGAAGCATTAAAATCGCCTGCTAAGATGATACCATCCTGACACGGTAGTTCCTTTAAGATATTTTCCAATTCCATATAAAAAATACTATCATTGTGAGGTGCGTATACGTTAAACAAATGAATTTTTTTGTATCCTAAGTTTAAGGTAAGGCAGCATATTCGACTGGTTATTTGAAGCCTACGAATTTTATTAATTTATTATGTATTAAAATCGCCATCCCAGCCCTGACGTGTTCAGCGTTCGAGCTGCAATATAAGGTATAATCTAAGAGGTTCCTTACTTCAGTTACTTTAAGGTGGGTTTTTTGTAAAAGGAGGATATCATAATGTTGATCATTCATGACTTGCCTAAGTATAGTTAATTTGTCATTCAGGGATCTTATATTTAAAGATATTATTTTAATACTGTAATCCTTCAAAAATTTTTTTAACATTTATTATGATTACCGTTCCGATTCTAGGATTAAAATTCCAAAATATTCATTTTCGATAATTTGCATATAAGGTATCAAAAACTAAAATTTCAGGTTGGCTGGGAAGGAGTAAATGAGTTCTGAAGATATAGTTGATATAGATGTTGCCTTTGATAATATATTTTTATCGGAAGAAATGTAAAACTAATATTAATTTAAAATTAAATAAATTTAAAAAAAGAAATTATGATAAAGGATATCAAGAAGGCACAATTCGTGGCAAAGATGAAGGATTTAAAAATGGTTTAATTGATGGCTATAGGAAAGGAAAGGAGATTGGCGAAGAAGTCTCTCATATTTAATAATTTTATAAATCTTTATTTAGCTTGGAGAATATTATGGTACATTATATACCCATTTAATATTTAATAGGCACAAAGAGTCAGCCAAGTTATTAGATTTTATATAATTTCAATTTAAATTAATTTAAGAAAAATAAAGTTTGTGGAAGATTTATTAAAACTCATAGAAAATGCCCTTGCATCTTCAGAAGGTTCTTCAAAGCAAATCACCATCAGTGAAATTAGACAAAAATATAAACAAGTAATTATAATAATATTTATTTTAATAGACATCTTTCAAAAGGTTTATAAAATTATTTTGAAAGATAATACAAATTTAAAAACCTCATTTAAAAATCATATGCCTGATTTTGGTCATGATCTTAAATATACAGAAGATATGTTTAAAGATTTATCTTTTTGATAATCATTAGTAATATATTTAAAAGACGCACAATAATTATAAAACAATATTTAATTTATTATATTCTCAATATATTTAAAATGTATATAAATTTTAAAAGATTTATAATTTTATTTAATATAATATGAGAAAATATCTAATGTAATTTGTTTATATATTTACTTGTTTAAATATCTTATAGGAATATTCTTGCAAATAAATGAATTAATGTTTTATGCTTTAGTTTGAATCTCTTATTTATATATTAATGTTACTAGCTCAAAAATGACATTTGAATTTGCTAGCTTTTAAAATTAACCAAATATTGTCTTTTACCTTTTTGCATATTATAAATAGCTATTAATTAAAATTTCGATAATCAGTTTGGTATATATGATTTTAAGTTAAAGACTGATTAGGGCTAAATCTATTTTGCAAAATTTTAGGAACATGAACTACCCTTTTTAAATATATTCCTAATCAGAATACTTTTACATCCTAGTTCCAAAGGTTTAAATCAGGGGTGCAATGATATAACTTTTTTGGCCATGAGGGGAAGTATCAGTTTGATGCCACCAGCAGTCAATTTTTTTTAGTTTTATAAAAATAAAAATTCTGAAATAGTTAAAGATGACTGACAGATTATCATGGTAGCTGGTAAATAAGGATTTAACTCTTTGGCGCAAAAACGTGTTAATAATTTTTTCTTTTTGTTATAATAAAAGTTTTTTTTTTATTTTTTATATATCTATATAAATAAATTGGGCAAATTTTAAAAAAAGAGATATCATAGGGATACCACCTCCTTCAGGGCCATTCCATGTCAAATCGATCAAAAAAGGCACTTTCGACCGACCCCTTTTAAAATTGTTAAAAATTTCTGGAATTATTTAGATAGGTAAAAGAATGAGAAAGCCGTTTATTTTAGCTCGCTAGCACACCCGGTTCTCGAGATATAGGGGCTCAAAGATACAAAAAAGAGCCACTTTGGAATCTGTAAAATTTTTAAAATGCTTATATCTCAAAAACTATTTGTAGTAAAAAAATTATAATATATAATTTTGTAGGTAAAGAAATTCTCTAATGGGCTAACAAAGAATAATAAATATTGGCGCCATTATAGGCTTTTAACATCCGGTTTACCTATATTGCTTTACCTGTATTTTTAAGCAAAATAGTGATTTTGTTTTCAAATTTTTTTTTTTGCTTTTTATTTAGAAACCTTTTATAAATATATATACTATGTCAAAACCATGGCGACGCTATCGACTTTTCCGAAATATAAATTTTTGCCAAAAATTGAAGAAAAAAGTAGATGGCGCTAATGGTTAAAAAATATTATTCTTAAGGAAAATGAAAATATTGATACGTTTATAAAAATTGTGATAAAATTTTCCAGCTCTGCCCTCCTCCCCCCTCCCACTATCCTTAAAATGTTTTACATTTTTTAGATCTCTACTTTGCTACTATAGCGAGCGAATGACTTATTAGCTCGATAATATATAACAGCTCCAGTAAAAACGAATATTTAATTAGGCATATATTCGATTATATTTTACAAAATAAATTGTTTAAAACGATCTCTCTTTCTGCGAAATAATTTTAACCTGTCAGTTCAGATTAATTTCATCGTCTGTCTACCAATAATAATCTGGATTTGGAGAGTGCAAAAACATGTATTCTAGGTATCAATTAAAATTTTATTCTATATCACAGATGGACGTACCAAATATTAAGATGTTGCAACCCATTTAATCTTCAGAGACATGCTTATTATCGCGAGAATCTAAGAAAGATTCTACCCTGGATGACCCCCAAAAATTTACCATTCAATTTAGATATGTTAATATGCTCTTCATGGCGATAAAAATTAGCAAACATTCCTTATACTTCAAATGACATTGTAGATATTGATTCTCCCCTTCATATAATTAACCAAGAGGCTATTGATAACATTAATATATCCCTACAATCAAATGGGGAATCTCTCATTATGGGAAAAGGCTTATGTGAAAAGAAATATTCGAAGAAAAAAAAGTATTAATGACTAAAATTATACCATTATCTTGATCAAATGATGAAAAATTCGATGAAATTGTAGATACCCTAAAAATTAAAAAAATTATATGAAAGATATTTATTATTGGAAATTTGTTACATTATTAAGTGTCTAATGGGCATATGCCCACTAAATATAATAAATCTTCTATTTTTTGAGTTTTAAAATAATTTCCGGTATTAGAAAAAGAGGATTCAAAACAACAGACCAGTCATGACACCTTCATTAAATGTGTCAGTATGTCTAGATTTAATAGTATCGCTTCGCTATGTCCTATCATAGTTCAGAATTAAGTACGAACTTTCTGGCCAGATTTGTTTAATTTTATCGCTATTTTTTAAACACGTATATTTATTTTTTTCTTCTAATTTTATATATGTATCTTGGACAAGTACATTTGATATTATTAAAATATTTTAATAGTTATTAACCATTAATGACTAAATAAAATAATTACCTAAAAGAGGGACTATAAATATACTTAATATATATTAAATACAGATGAGGAGGAATGCTAAAGAAGATTCACCCGTCATCTCATAGTTTTGATTATTATCACATGTCTGTCTTATATAAAATTCAAAATATGGTTGAGATATAATTTCAAAATATTCAGATACCTGCAAAATATTTTATTATTTGAGAATATTATTCAATCAAATAAATGTAGATAAGATTTTTTTTGAGTATTCAATCAAAAAATGTTAATAAATTTATTTGATCAAGTAAAATGAGGAATAAGTTAATGAAGTAAATAATTGGTATTCATAATTCAAGTTGGAAGTCTTAAGTAATAAAATGTAAATAACAGATCAAATATCTAATAATTAATTTAAAATATTCGTCCTCTAGTCGACACAAATTGACGACTCAAGTTGAAATTATTAAGTACAAAAATGTAAATAATAGAATCTTAAATAATAACAATTAATTTGAACTATTCGTCCTCTAATCTACCCAACTATATATGTATTCACGACTCAACTGGAAGTCTAAAGTAAAAATTGTAAAAACAAAAAATATCTTAATTAATAATATTAAAAATATTCGTCCTCTAGTCGACTCATGTTCATAGAACTTTTCTTCCTCTAGTCGACTCAACTTTAAATATATAATTCTTATTCACGTCAAGACTCAAGTTGGAAGTCTAAAGTAAAAAATATAAAAACAAAAAATATTTTCATAATAACTAATTTGGAATATTCATCATATAGTAGACTCATTTATATAATTCTTTTCAGTTTTCACAATTCAAATTAGAAGTGTCAAGTAAAAAATGTAAAAAGCAGAAAAAAACTTAAATTGACGAGTCAAGTTCAGAGAACTATTCGTCCTCTAGTCGATAACTATATATTTTGTATTCACAACTCAAGTTGGATCTAAAGTAAAAAGTAAATAACAACAAATATCAATAATAATATATCTGAAATATTCGTCCTCTAGTCGACTCAAGTTCATAAAATATTCGTCCTCTAGTCGACTAGAGGACGAATATTTTAAGAACTTAAGTTCACGACTTGGGTCGACTTGAGTTCACGACTCGAGTCGACTTGAGTTCACGACTTGGGTCGACTTGAGTTCACGACTCGAGTCGACTTGAGTTCACGACTTGAGTTTGAGTGTTAGTCGACATATTCGACTAACGACTCGAGACTCTGAGTCGGAGTCTGGTGAACTCGACTTTTTAACAACACTACCCACTCTGCTACTCAGTTAATTAGTATATTTAATAAAAAATCAAAATTTTTAGTATAAAAAGTGAAAATATTTGGTTAATCATAAGTTAGCAGCAAAATTTTAACCATAATCCGTAATTTCATAAAGCGCCATCCATTTATTTTATCAATTTTTGGAGTCGTCGCCAAGGTTTTGATATTGTATATATAATAAGCAAAAGTGTCTAAATAAAAAGCAATGAAAAAAATTCGAAAACAAACTCACTATTTTGCTTAAAAATACAGGTAAAGCAATTTAGGTAAACCGGATGTTAAAATCCTATAATGGCGCCAATATTTATTTTTCTTTATTAGCCCAATAGAGAATTTCTTTACCTACAAAATGATTTATTATAATATTATTTACTATAAATAATTTTTGAGATATAAGCATTTTAAAATTTTTACAGATTCCAAAGTGGCTCTTTTTTGTACCTTTGAGCCCCTTTATCTCGAGAACCAGGTGTGCTAGCGAGCTAAAATAAACGGCTTTCTCACTCTTTTACCTATCAAAATAATTCCAGAAAATTTTAACAATTTTAAAAGTGGTCGACCGAATCGTGATCGATTTGACATGGCATGACCCTTCAGCGATATCAGGAGGCCTTAGAATTTTTTTTTATGATGAAGTGCAAAATTGCATAGATTGCACCTTCATAATCATCAAGATTACTAATTTTAATAGCTTTAAAAATTATAAAATCTTATCTTTTTTAACATTAGTAATTTTACAAATAAAAAATGCCAATTTGATTAATTCCTGTTTAAATAGCAAATTAAAATAATTAAAATATATTTAATTTTATATTATTGATAGGTTCAGTTGCAAGTGATAACCTTAAGAATATATTAATTAATTTTTAATAATATGCAATTTTTGTATGTTTTTTAAATAATATAAAAAATGGGGCATTCTATTCTAAATATTACAATAAAAAATATATTGCACTTAAGTTTAATTTAATATTTTGTAAGTGGTTTCCGCTTCATATTATCCTCCCTGAATGGGTTATAGGTTAATTAATAAGTTACTCTTATTAAGATTGTTGATATAATTACATATCAAATAGCACATAAGTAATGAATATTGATTACAAGAATGGTAAAATTTTATTCATATTGTGCAAGATTGGTAATAATTAGTATGCCATAAACGTTATTTCTAAAAATAAAATAGTTACATATGAAAAAATGAACATTTTACCGTTACTCTTTACCTTGTAAAATAAGTAACTCTTTACTTTCTATTCGAAAAAAAAGTAACTTATTACTTAAAAATACGAAATATTTTATGTAAATTTTCTTTATATTCATTTTTTCCGCATAGATAAACAAAATTGGAAAATAATTTATTTGTGTAATTATTTTTTATTTATTTTTAGCAATTGACTCTTTAAAATTTTAATCCGATAAAGCGCTTTTAGCATAGCGACACGTTCAACTGGCGCAGAGAATGAGAGGGATGTATTATATTTAATAAATTTTAATTTATGAAATTTAAACAATGATCTTTATTTACAAAAATATCCTATACGAATTTATACAAAATAAAATTTTCATCTTCGTAAGAATCTTCATTCAGATCCTCGTCAATTCTATTTACCTTTAACATAATTTAAACTGAATTTATATTACTGAAATAATTAAAGCTAAGAACGTTGATTGTTCAACCATCGGGGAGGGGGGGATCGACTGAGTTAGATAGCCCAGAATTTGGAGGGTAGGACTGGTGGACCAGATTATGTGGGCAATTTAGTCATCGTACCCAACTCCAGTCGCGGAGCACTGAATGAAGTAGACAACATTTTATTTATCGCACGTTGGTTATTCAGCAAAATAGTGAATTTTATTTAATTAATATGGTCGCCATGATCGTAAATATCAAAAGAATTATAAGTAAATCAAATTTGACAAAAATAAAATGCATCATAATATTTACATCAAGATTAACATATTTTTCTCTTTTATATAGTAAACTTTGGGGAGCAACAATCTTGTTGTCCAACAAGAGAAAACAACTAAAGTATTTTTGTAAAGATTTAATACACATCGGCCATCCTTAAAACAGGCGAGGACCAGTTTCAAGTGAATAAAATATAAAAACAAGGTATTTATAATTTACCAATTCGAGTAAAACAAAGTAAAGAATAATAATGGACTCGAGATGCAGAAAGTGTAGATTTAGTTCCTTTATTTTCTTTATTTGTGTAATGGTTTCATAGTGGCAGGGTCTTCATGGCAGGATATTCACTGGATGCAACCCCCCCCCCCCCCTCAAAAATTACTATCTACCAACCTAATTCTACATTATTAATGATACCTTCTTAATTGTAATAGTAGTCACTTCATAAATTTTAAAAAGAATCAATTAATTATTAATGCTTCACTTTCCGCTAACAACTACCACAATATTGAGGAAGTAAAAGAGTTTTTTTTAGAACATGAATTCAATATAAAAACTTTAAAATTTTCGAATCGAATCGTATGAATACCAATAATTAATTATTTGATTAGTTTTTTAGCTACTTTTAAGAGAAATTCAAGGTGAATTTTTAAAAATTTACATATGGTGATGTAGCAAGCACATGTCATTTACAATCGTGAAATTATGATATACATATCCCTAGCTTAAGAAATTTAAATATAAATGATAAAAAATGGTAGATCATTTTTTTTAATATGACAAAAATATCATAACCTGCTAATGCAGTTATTCATCTTTAAAGAATAGAAATTTAAATTATAATGAACATGAGTCAAATCTATCATTCCATTTTGGTTTTCAATTATAAAAAATATAGGAAGATTTTATTATTTAATGTTTGAGCATTTTACTCAGAAATAGCAAATTTCTATGATATATAATTTTTTTATGATTTGGCTAATAAAAACAAAAAAGCTCTTGTTTTCATATACCTAATATTACACTTAGTGTTTCGTCATTGTTTTATATCAGTATGCAATCTAATATATTACTATTCTTTATTTTAAAAATATAAATTTAATTAACACTGAAAATCAAAATATATTGTATAATGTCAACATATGTCAGTTAACAACCATTCCAGTTTCGCTAACATGATAACTATCTTCATGCGTCTTATTTTTTATAGTAGTCACTTGATGCAAGAAAAAGATAATCTATCGACGACTTTTTGGTTACACGGGTTGTCACAATAAGAATGACATGGACTTTGAAAAACTTTCTATTAAGAATGTACGCCCAAATTCGTATGGAACTATGCGTAAGAATTGTATTAAAAAATCCTTCGTTGAATATCTAGTCTGTAATGGAGATACCCTTCAAGGCATTGCTCTCAAACATGATATTGCAGTATTAATTTTTTATTATACATCTCTATTTAATACTTGATTAGATGGATGAATTGAAGAGAATAAATAGGATATGGACAAATGATGCATTATATATAAATAAAGCGCTAAAAATTCCTATGCCCACTAAAGATGTTATATTTAATTCAATTGAGGAAAAATCTCAATATCTAAATAAATCACTAGAAAATCATTCCTCCAATGGGAACCCACCAATTTTCAAAAATCATATACCAAATAATCCTATATATACAAATAATTCCATAAAAGATGATTACTTAACAAAAAAGTAAAATTATTTATATAATTCATGGTAGTTATAATTGAATAAATTGATATTTATAGTTAAAAACTTTTAAATGGAACTTTGTCAATCTACAAATTTCCATCTTATCAGATATTTTCCTATTTTAATTCATAAGATTCCATATTTAGATTAGTTTTTATTACAATTTATCTTTCAACCAGGATCATAAAAAAATTAATATTTTCTAAAAACCACCTTCCACAATTAATTAAATTTATTTTGCTTTTTCTCCTATTTTTTTTTATTTAAAATATTGGCAATGTTTTGGCTAAATCTGATTTGTTAAATATTTTAAATTCCTTTTTTTATTACATATTTTTTATGAATATTATTTTTTAAAATACATTTACTAATATATTTAATTTTAGTTCCTCATATTAATTTTTTATTAGAAATAAATAATATCGAATTTGATTTTTGTTTTGAAAATATTGTACTTGTCTAATATATCTTGGAAATCCCTAATTTTAAATTATATGATTTAGCTTTATAAAGCTTGGTTAAAATTTTATATGTTAGCAATTATGTTTTAAGTGAATTTTTTTTAAATTTAAAAATCTGATTTTACCAAAAATATATTCCGAAATGTTTAGAATACTTATCTTATTAATTGTAGACTTAATCTTTGATTTCTTTATAACTTATATAAAAATATATGGGAAAATAGATATAAATTATATTAAGTTCAAAAGTTAATGGTAAAATTGCTTGAAATTCATAGGGTAAACATGATGGAATTCTGGTAAAATCAGATATTTGAATATAAATAGTTTTATTTTATAGATATAATATAGAATTCTTTTATTTTAGATGATGATATTATATACATATCAATGATTAACAAATTTTTATTTATATTAGGCCTATATGATATCAGTCGATACATTCAATTTTAACTGATACCACTCAGTGGCTGATATACAAATGATCATTAACACAGATAAATTATTATATTTTAAGCCTACATTTGAGCGATAAATTGATTAAAATAGTTACTAAGTTTTGTTCCTGTTTAATAAATTAAATTGTTTTTTTTTTAAATTGGTAATATATCTCAGTTGTATTGACTTATTGATGTAGACAAAGGGGGTTCCACATAACACCCTGAAAATTTTTTTTTTAAATTAATTTTAAATTTGATAATATAATTTATATTGTTATATTCATTAAAAAACTGAAAGTAACAAGCAAAATTTATAAAACTCGTTAGAATTTTAAATTTATAAATATTTTGAATTGGGGAAAATTTTTATCTATTTAAACGTAATTGATTTTCTGAATCGATTAAAATTTGATATTTAGGACTCAGCAGACTAAGGTTTGCCATAGTTTTTATTCCGCTTATATCTGGTTTTAATATATTGATTCGAAAAACTGATTGTTGAATTAGCAGGTACTAAATCTGCTTTACATATTGTTCATTTGCTTCTATAAATTTCCCTTCTAACATGATGTCAATCTTGGCAATTTATTTTTATTCTACCCAAAATGTTTTTCTTTAAAATATCTACCAATTGAAGCACTTAAATAATATTAGAATACACCCTGATTATTGATATAAATGCCAGGGATAAATGCTTCCATATCTTTGGATGACTTTACACTTAAGGCTTGATATCACAGTTTGTATTTGGTTCGCACTAAATATTATTGTAAACCAAATAATTATAACTACTATATTATTTAATTTTGACAATTTCTTTTATTTTTTACTGATTATTTTTCTCCTTCTCAACCATTGGTCAAACAGAATAAATCAATGAAATGTTCTAATAAAGCCATACTTAATGATTTGGCATAAGTTTCAGATTTTTCCAAAAACTTGACTATCACGCTTAAATCGTAACATCTAGTTTTCATTTTGTTTGTAACTCAGTTTTATTTTCTAAATGTTTTTGGATCGATAATCCTCAATTCCCTCAGATCTTTTCAAATTCCTTATTCCCGAATGGACTAGAAACCTGTAGAATGTGTATGATTGATATTTAAACTAGTTCAGAAGAATATATATAAGTAAATCACCATTATTTTCTTTAATCTGAATCAAATTTAATAACCCTGATCGATTCTAAATTGAGGGAACGATGGAAGAGGAAGAATCTGCAAATGAATAAACATATAAAGCCTATCCAAATATTCCAAACAAAGAAATCGCACAAATCTTTTTAAAGGATACAGTAGATGCATGTTTCGTTAGTCTTGGGGCCAAATCTGGATAATCTGGTTCAGATAGGCCCATATTCTTAACTAGACATATTATTTATGCATGTAATGTGACCAACTATAATGAAAATCAACCACCTCAGAACGCATTAGCAATTTACCACGAAATGCCGAATTCATGGAAGATGCAAACATAATTTAGCTCACTGGGTATGACGACGCGACTGAATAAGAAAGTAGGATTAAATAAAATAAAAACAAATTTAAGAAGAACTCCTTGTCTGGCCCATAATGTCCAATTCTAACAAATTCTATGACGACGCAACTGGTTTGTAAACGATATTCTCACTCACTAAGGGCCCATGTGAAAATGAGCCAATTTTAAACGCTTATAGTAAATGATCGATTGGAAGCCACCATGTTTAACGCAGAATGATCAATCGATGTTCTTGAACTCCTGCGAAGAATTACAAAGGTAACGAGCGAAATCTTCTTGTAAGTAAAAAGTTTATCCGCTTTTAAAGAATTATTTTTAAAAACAACGAGAAACTTTCAGTGGAACCAGGACAGCCCATTCAAGAGAATGATAAGGATGGCTTCGATGAAACATTTCTGAAGATAAAATATCAGACTTTTATTAGATCCAATTAAGATTAAAATCTATTTTTTTTTCTTCTTCTTCCGAATATAATTAAAACTTATTTGCACAAAAAAAAACATCATTACATTTATCAGTTTGTATTTTTGGCAATAATTTTTTTTTAATATATATATTAATATTATTATATATATATAAATTTGCTTATTTGTATGCAAAAATAATTTATTCTCGTTTTTATATAGATTTAATCTATCATGCCATGATTATTTTCTGCATATTTTCTTCCTCAAATTATTTTTTTATATTCAATTTTTTTTTTTGAATATTTGCTTTTAAAAAGCAATGCTAGATTTATTTTTTTTTTTAAAATGGCTTACCCAATATATTATGCGAGAAGTATCACCTCAAGTCTGGAATCTTTGCTCATATATTACAGAAAGGTCGGACCTTATTTAAACGAAATAACGAGGCTTTCTTTTTTATAAAATTTGGCCTGAAAATCTTAATTTTAAAGCCGGTTAAATCCAGCTGTTCGATAACATGAGGTACGATTATCTTAAGGCGCCTGCGCTTTTCAAAAGTAAGGTGCCAACTAGTGTTGAACGACAACTCAATATTTTATCCAGAAAAGTAACGCGCAAACCTGAAGATTTTGATCATAGGTGGCAGAAAAGTTTGGAGATCTATTCGCGAAGTCTTGAGGTTCCGGCAATATTTGTCTGGCTAAAATATTGAGTTAGCCATTCCTTTTAAAATACATTAGCTTTCCAAAAAATTTGAATGAATATAAAAACAGCTTTGCACAATCTCTTTAACAAAAATTTTATTTGAACCGTTATTCATAGCTCACCTACACCTCCCAACCCTCACCCCCTTAATCCCAACTACTTTACGCTTTACGAAACGCGTCGCAATTTGATGGGACCCGAACTCAACCGGTACTGCAATCAAACACCGCCATGTTGGAATCAACAATCCGTCGTCAAGTACTCGTCCGCCGAAAATTTGAACAAATCATCGAAATGGAACCCTCTCTCTCACAACGCTCACGTCATCGAGACTAATGACACGAGCGCGTCTTCGCACGGTAAGGCCAAGATGCCCCCGAACCAAGACCAAACCTCCCCTTCCATCGTAGTCAGGAACGGGAAAAGTTTTGGCGGATTCAAGGGCTCCTCGTCATCTCTCCTCTCCAATTTTTTCCACCCCTTAGCTAAGAGCGGTCCGGAAAAATGCGACGATGATAATCTCTCCGAAATGATCGAATTATGACGAATAAGCTCATCGGTTTTAGCGTACCTTTTTGAAGGTTTTTTTTTAAAAAGAAAAGATTAATGGGAAAAATCTATAAAGTCGCTCTCGTATTAATTTATAGTCTTTTTTTTTTTATCGATTAAATATATTTTTTTTATATAACACACAACTTTAAGCCGACTTATTCTTAATTATTTATTTATATTTAAAATATTTTTTTATTTATGTGCTATAAAATAATAATAATAATGTCTTCATAAGGAAAAAAACTATTACGACCAATGGACATTTTTACGAATTTATTTTAAAAAAAAATAATATTTTTTATAAATTTTTATTTATCAAAATTGTAAAAAAAAAAATTTTAAATAATAAATTAAGGTCACGAGAAGAAGAAAAAAGGATATTAAATATTTGAGCTTAAAAAAAGTGGCTTTGAAATATTAATAATAATATATTTCTGTCCCCCACTCTTCGAGGCTATATTATAGTAAGAAGTCAACATGTCAAACAATCAAAATATTTTTTGATTATTTATGATTTAAGGAGAGATAAAGCAAATTTTATATATATATATATGCAAAGAATTAAGTTTCGATTAATTACCCCAAATTGTTTAAAAAAAAATGCTTTTTCTAATGAATACAGATACATCGCCTAAAATGTAACTGCTTAGCGTTACATTTTTTTTAAAGAATGTATCGAAGTATGAATACATTTTAATTTATAATTATGTGAGGGGTCGTTAAATTTAGGATTCTATTGTTAAAGTTTAAAAGTGAGCTTTAAAATTTTATTTTATTGAATTAGTATTTCCATCTAGTGTTGTTAAACGGCTCGGTTTGAGCCGATTTTTAAAACCGGCTAACTCGATACTTCATCCAGAAAAATATTACGCAGTCCTGAAGATTTTGATCATAGAAGGAACAAAGGTTCCTACATATATTACCGTAATCACGTGGATTAGGCAATATTTTTCTGGTTAAAATATTGGAGTTAGCCGTTTTAAAAATACGGCTCAAAACGAGCATTTAACAACACTAATTTTCATCCACGCAACAAAATGTAATAATTAAAATGAAAAAAAACATTAATTTTCAAATTTTAATGAAATTTTTAATTAGTAGGTGATAAATAATAATTAATTTGTTATATTTTAAATAATACTTATTCAAAATATATAATTATTATAAGGCTAATAATTTGTTCGATTTTAATAATTAAAAGATTCTCAAAATTTTATCGTTAAAGCAACACCCGTTTATCTATAGAGAACATTTTTAGTCAAACTAAAAAGTCCTTCCACCGTGGCACTTGACTGCAGATACATTTTATGAATAACAATTTTAGGGTCGGGCCTAAAAGCCAGGGCTAGTCTGATCTGTATTTTTTTTAAAAATATGATATCGTTACACTGTGTCAAATAAATAGAAATATTTATTCCTCTAAAAGGAGTGTTCATAAAAATCTGGTATAAAACTATTTGATTAATTTTTTTATAATTTTTCTGTTTACAATCAATTGGAAACTTTAATAAATCATCAATTAAAGTTGTATCGTGTTATCGTCATTCATTGCTTTGAAAAAAATTGTCTGGTTTGTGTTTGTGATGAAATAAACTTGGGAGATAATATTTAATGAATTTAATTTCGAATATTATTATTTTTAATATGAAAAAATAATGATAAAATTATATCGAAAATACGGATACCTCTTAAAATTAGTATTATCCAGATTATAGAAACTTTTTATAAAAGTATATCTTGATACAGATACCACATTTTTGTATATATATACCTTAACAACTCTGTTAAACACTAAAAGAGGTTTTTTTTTATATATTTCTTTGCCAACATAGACTCTTCATTACTCTTTTTAAATTTTTTGCCCAGCCCCAGCTAGTAAAAATTTTACAAAATGTCTAACCTAGCATGTTATATTTTTTTGCACAGATTTTCTGACAATCGCATTTTTAATATCCATCTAACTTTTTTTCTCCTATTATCAATGAAGGCTCTTTAATATGTTCTCTATGGCATTCTATTTCTAACTACAATCGTTTTTATAAATCAAATTCTGTTTGATATCTATACTGATTTGCAGAGTTGTTAAAAGATCATTTTTAAATGGATCTAGATACAGATACAACGTCTAAAATAATATCTAGATACAGATTATTTAATCAAAAATCTATCTAGATACAGATACCACATTTTTATATCTAGATCCTTTAACAACTCTGCTGATTTGTAATGCGATCATATAAGATGACTTGCGTTTAAATTTTTTGCGAATTTACTGTATTATTTATATCAGAGACCTGCGGGCTCGGGTTAAACCGGTTGGGCCGTGTTTTAATTTTCTTAAAAATACCCTGGTCGGTCCGAATATTTTAAATCGCCATTATTAGCTATAAAAATTATTAAAGCTTTGATAAATCTTTTTCTCGTCGTTTCCACCAAATTAGGATATTCAATATTAAATCTTGCTAAATTAGTATAAAAACTCGTTACATTAAGATTTATCAAATATTTTGTTGTCATTAGTGTTGAGGTATTGATAAACCTAGACATGCCTTAATAGTTAGTGAGCCATTATTTTAATCTATTTCATTGGTTATCATTACGTTTAAAAATTGATTTTGTTATTTTTATATCCATAAAAGTATGACTTTATATTGATCTAGTTTGTTTTTCAAACATATACATATAGATTTAACGATTTTAAAAAGTCAACAATTGCTAAATTTCTTATTTATATCGAAACATTTTACAAAATTCTAGTCGAAAGCTTTCACTAATTAGGTAATCTTCTCTGTAACGGCCAAATCTTCCCGTTTAATTTTTATGTAAATGCTATCTATATAACATTGCCTTTATAATTTAATAATCTTTAATTGAATTCTCTTTGCTTCTGAGGAGATGGTTAAGATCAGATTTTAATCCATGTTGATGTTATATTCTTCTTGCAGGGATTCGAACCGAACTTGGAGAACAAAACGTGGGTGGGTTGACTAAGATACGCGCCTACCTATGAAAGAAGCTTAATTTATAAAAAATGAACGTAGAATCATATAGAGCTTATTAAAAGTTATAAAAAGAAAAAATATTATATTTTAAAACTTTTTATAACCTTAGTAGGCTTTTGAAAAAACAAAATTTTTTTTTGGACTAAACTACGCGTTCCCTATCAAACAAGCTTAATTCATAAAAAATTAAAGGATAGTCCTATTAAGCTTATTAAAAGGAATCAAAAGATGTTAATATTCAGTTTATAACTTATTGAGATTTGGAAAAAACACTTAATTTCTTCTTTTTTTGACTAAACTACGCCCCCCCCCACCGTTGAATATACATTATTTTTTAAAAATGAATACAGAATCATGTATAACTTTTCAAGGAGATTCAGAATATGGTAAGAAGCTTATTTCATAAAAAATTAAACCATAATCGTATTAAGCTCATTTTAAAGAAATAAAAATTTATAAACTTAATATTAACATTTATTGGTTCCTTTTGATGAGCTTAATACGATTATGCTTTAATTTTTTATGGAATAAGCTTGTTTGATAGGGGGGACGTAGTTTAGTCACAAAAATTTTTTTTACCTTTTAATAAGCTCTATATGATTCTACGTTTATTTTTTATAAATTGAGCTTCTTAGATAGGGGGCGCGTAGTTTTCGGGGTCGCGTTATATTAATAATCGAGATTTTATAATATTTACGAATTTCCAATAAAGCGAAGTGATAATATATTTTAAACAACATAATTCATTTACGCCATTTTTTAAATTTCTTCTCAAAGAGTGTAAATAAATTTTTGAACAATTAAATTCATTTAAGCTATTTATTTTTAATTATTAACTTATTTTCGAAGATTATTAATTAGAGGAAAATGAAAGATGAGCAAGTCAAAGCAAAAATTATTGATTGGATATTGTTATTTTAAAGAATTCTCAAAATCTAACTTAAAAATGGTTAAACAAAGATGTATAAGGCAGTTTTTGTAAACTTTTGTATTTTTAACTATATTTTGCCTATAAATAAAATAAAAAATTAATTTTTTATACCAAATTTATGTCTAGTTTTTTAATTATGATTTAAGTATAGAATTTTTTTTTATCAATTCAAAAATTCTTAAACCCAAACTGAACATGATTTCCCTGAACCAAAAACCCACCTATTATTTTTACATTAAACTGAACTCAGGCAAAAATTTTCTGGGCTAGCATCCCTGCTTCCATGCAATCAACTCCAACAGGTTTTCGATATCTTTTTTTACCTAATTAATTTCTTCTGACAACATCCTCAGTTATCAGAACTTTGGTATTAAAAATTATGGAAATTTCAATGAGCCTATTTTTTGTTTACTTAAATGATTTTAAATGACAAATAAAAGTTATAATTTTTTTAACCAGCTCGCCCATAAAATATTTTTCTTAACCTGCCTCCTATTCTTTAAAAAAAATTAACCCGCTTGCCCATGCAAAAACTCGTCCAAAGCAGACCTCTAGTCTATTCTGCCCATTTCTCCCAAATATTAAATATTCACACACTTATAGTTAATAACCCTACTTTTGCAGATCTCTAGGTAATATATTGGCTTTAATTTAACAATAATCTTAAAAAATTTTTAAAACTCATTTATTCCTGCCCATAGAATGAGCAGCTAAACTTACCCACCACACACCAGAAAATAGCTTACAGAATATAATCAATAATTTTATATTAAAGTTAATTTGACTTATCAATTCAAAGATTGTTCTATGCCATGATATATTAGATTTCGCCAAATGGGCAACAATGTGGTCATATAATTTAGAAAATTCTATATCATTTCTTATCTCATTTAGGTCTGATATTAATCTTTGGAGAGCAATTTTAACTCTATTTATAGAATTTAATAAATATTCTAAAATGAAAATATTAATAACTATTTAAGAATATTATTTATATAAAACTCCTCAAAATTAGTCCCAAATTTATAAAAATTAAGGAACTTTTTTTGACACTCACCATGTTATATCAATGTGTTTTTGATATAATTTTTTTTATCATTTTATATTGATTTCTTTTTTATTAAATACATATTTTATAAATCACAAAAAGTTATGTACAAAATGAGAATATATTAAACAGATTGTATTGGTATTTCCACACCAAATTTTTTGTAATGAATAGAATTTTTAACCGGTGTTAAAATCTAAAAAAAAATAATATATTGTTAAAAAAGTTATATATTTTAACTATATTATGTATATATGATTGACATCCATAGCACCAACAGGAGATATCTGATAAACTGATAGTTAAAGCATGATTAAAAGTTTGTCCATGTTCTAGCATATGACTATTAATAAATCTCCCACATAATACCTTTTATTTATAAAATAGATTTGTTAATAAAGCAATTATATTATTAAATGAAATAACTTGTAAAATATTTTATCCCTTTATTTTTGTCTTTTAATAAGTAAGCAGAATAGTTTAATCTTTATTAATATCAATAAATATACATTTATTCTTTTTTTTTGAATGTTTTAAACTCTGATGGCACTATGATTATAATCTTATTTATAATGAATAAAATACTTTATGACATGTTACACACATCCAATTTTCGGTGCTATCGTTACAAATATCACATGGTGCAGATATATCAAAATCTTCACCTAGGCTTTCAAAAACAGATGGGTTGGAAGTATGTAATTCTTGTAAATGTGGACAATCATTTAATGGTATAACAGCGAATAAACCCTTTTACTTATTTAAAATGGCAAATATAATTATTTAAAAACTTGAGCTGTTTGAGCTATATATGAATCTTCTATATTTTCATTATCTTCCATTTCAAAATTTCAGAAGAATATACTGCAATTACTACTATAGAAAAATATAATAACTATCATCTTTGACAGATCATGACATATTTTCATATATTAAATCAATGTTTAATCATAAATGAGAAATTATCAAAATCTACTATTCGTAATCATACCAATCAAATAATAATTATTTTATTATTCAAATGATTGGTTTAAAAAAATCGAACACTAACAATTCTATTAGTATTTGTTTTTGAATAGGCCTAATAGGTAAAGGTAGATAGAATACTATTATTAAAAACGGTAAATCATAAAATGTTTCAATAATTATCTTTTTGAATATATGTTTAAGACAGCGTCTACGTGAGCTGGGGGGGGGGGCAGTTTGCATCCTATTTTTTTGAGGGGGTATAGGGTAAGCTGCTTTAACGGGGGTAGGATAAAAAAAAAAATTTTTTTGGGGGGGGGGGGGGTTATCTATTAAATTTTGAGATGAAGGACAAAATTTATTGCTGTAAAAATTAACACTTTTATTATAGTATTATAATAATACAATTCATCGACCAAATCTATATATTGCAAACAATCATACACATTGTTTTCGAACCTTTTAAATGTAATTTAAAGGTTTATATATTTTAGCAAGCTCATAGTGCCATAATAATAAATTCATTGTAAATAATGGAGGTTTTAATTGAATTTATTATCTAAAAAATAAATTCTTTATATTCATAAAATATCGATAGTTGGTTGTAGAGATAGATTAATTTAAGTTATCCTTTAAAAATTCTTTGAAAAGAGTATCAATAAATAAATAGGTGAAAATAATGATGCGGAAATTTTTAGGGGGGTAGGCAAAGGTTTTTGAAAAGGGTTTGCATCCAGTGAAAATCCTGTCATGTAGACACTGGTCTATGATCCATATTTGACTTCCAGAATTAAACTAGACTGTATCTTGGTTCGACTTAGGTTACTTATTTTAGGCTCTATAGCTTTTGAACTAGGACATCTATTTTAATATTTTTTAAGTGTTTGTGACTTTATTTTTGTTCGTTTTTAAATTTTTCTCATGTTTTTTACAATATTTTTTTGTTGAAAATGAGATGTTTTCCCCAATATTATACTTCGTTTACTATATTGACATGTATCATCATTAAATGAATGACATACTTAAAACTAAATTGCTAAATATTTTGTAATCGATGGTCGGCTAAAAATAATTTTTAAAAAGGAGTGGTTCAATTTTTTTATATTAAGAATAAACTAAAACCATTTAATATTTGAAAAGGGTGGATTTTGGGAATTATTTTTCACTTTCGATTATCGTAATGCAATGTTTATTTTTGTGATTTCTAGATGGACCAATTAGTAAGAAATACTAAAAGAGAGGATTTATAAAATAACTATCGAAATCTCTCTATTCATTCTCGATTTACCATTTTACCATATCTCAGTTGATTTAATAAAAATTACGGATCTCAATTGTCCATTTGCTTATACCAGTATAGTGCCTTTCTAAGTGATTATTCTCCCAAGACTATCTCCAGGGTTTGTTCCTCTACATTTATTCAAGCAACATAAGGGCTAACCGATGACGTCCAAAAACTCCTTTTACCTTCTAAATGGTGCTTTTAGAGTTAACTTAAGTTCCGCCTAAAGGCGGTATCGGTAATTGATCTATTTTTATTGGATAGGCTGACACATTTGGTTATGATATATATTTTAAAAAATTCATTTCCAGAATGCTGTTGTGGCATAGTCGGTCCAAGCATAATCCTATAGTTCGAATCCAGCCAGGTCCATATTTTTTCTGAAGCTGTGGGAAAACCCAGTGATAGATTGAAAACAAATAAAGCTTATACAACCCATACGAAAATTAAAACGGTTGTTGACAGTCATGGTTTCCCAAAAAATTGCATTGAACAGACCACAGTTGAAGAAGTTATTAAAACACAAGGACGAATGATTTGACAGAAAGGAGTATTCATGCAATAAAGTCACTATATTTATTCAGAGAAGTATCTGATTAAATTTTAAAAGCCTATCACATTATAAAACATCGTCTAACCACAAGATGCACGTTCAAACTTAAGTTCGACAAAGAAAATAATGATAGTATATGCAAGACCGTCTGCTTAGAGAAAAAGGGCATCTAAAATAAAGAGAAATTAGATATAAACATTTAATTAACAAGATTTTAGCAAAATGCAATCGGTCTGGGTATGTAACGATACCAAACTGAAAGAAGGCGAGAAATATCATATAAAGTGGATGATTTAAAGAAACCAATATACAAAAGAATACTGAAGCTCTAACAAGTAACAAACCAATTGAAGCGAGAGACGCAAGACACTTAATACAGCATGTCAACTGCTAAAAACATATAGATCTTCTCGTAAATAAGAGGAAAGAAATTTAACAAATGTAATATTTGTTTATAATGATAGGACTCTTTGATATAAAGGTTGCGTCTCTTGGAAGATTAAATTGATTAAGGCATCATTTTGTACTAAAAGCGATTCGCTTCATTTATCGCTACGTAATCCAGAAATGCACGTAAATAGTAGATATAAATTCATGATTGAGTAATGTGAGGAATCACTGATAAAATTGAAAATCATATGTTTCAATGTGATCTTGCTCTTGTAAATTCTGCGGATGAATTAAACGAATTGCGCTTATCATAAATGAGACCTATCTCTCATTAATCAATTCCAAATTTTTATTTCACTATTACCTAAGCATATAATTATAGTATAAAAAATTTTCCTTTATGACGTCTCCATTAAAAAATTTTCTCTTATGCCGTGATATTTTAACATTTATAATCCTATATTTATCTAAAATTCTTTCCAATCGTTAAAATTGTAGAATTATTGGGTTTATATTTATTATATACTTTTTTCCCTTCTATATTTGCATAATTTTCGAGATAATGACTAGCAATTTTTTTATACACTTCGAATGTTTTAATGCAAGAGATTCGTGTAACAAAACCCATGCAAGCGGAAGTTGAAAAAGAACTAGTATAAATTTCAAATTTTTGTATTTTTAAAGCTCATTACAAATCCTAAAAGTAACAATAGCAAATGAGTTATATTTACTGGTATAATTTCTTAAAATTGTCGAATATCCTATGAATTTGGACATTTTTGCGAAAGAGTTTCAATATGTTGTCGCATTTTTTTTCGACAGAAAATTTATATTAATGCACCCTAAAATGGAGCTCAACATTGAAATTCTCAAGGCGAATATTTTATCACTTAAAAATAAATAGCATGGCAAATTTCATGCACATATGTCTGTAAAAGGTTAATGATGCTTACTACCTTAAGGTACTATCTATCAAATTTGAATTTTGTTCATTTATCATTTGGATAGGCACTACCAAATATATTTATAATATATATATGAAAAATCCTGATTGGAAAGCCTCTATGGCCTAGTAGGCAAGAGCTTGGCTTACTTATCTCATGGTTTCGGGTTCGAATCCCGGGAATGGTTATGTTTTTTTTCTTAATCTAACTTGGTGGTTCATCCTTGGAGGGATGATATATAGAAGGCCGGACTCGACCACGTGATTCCGTTATATTAAATAATATGGGTCTTATTACATTTTAATAAATTTTGGTCGGTATTTAGAATATTTCCATACATTCACTTGGTAGTTAAACATCATAACCTTTATAAAAATGCATGATAAAATTAATTTAAATCGCAGATTTTTATCGGTTGATTTCTTTGAGTAAAAATCAATTTAAATGACGATTTTAATCAGATATTTTTATAAAAATCAATTATAATTACGATTATAATCAGATATTTTTATTAAAATCAATTAAAATTACGATTTTAATCAAATATTTTTATAAAAATTATGATTCAATACAAATTTTCGTTTTTTGAAATTATTAATTTTTCAAAGTAAAAAACATTTTACAATATCTCATACATACTGCGCTAAATTTAATTATTACAAATGATTTTATAAAAGATCAATGTCAATCTACATATAATTTTTTGATATAATTAGACATTATAAAAAATTAAACTATTATAAAAATTTATTTTAATATAAATATATTCTAAAGAACCCTAAAATTTCAAAACTTTAGGAAATTATGAAACATGACCAAAATGTTCAATAAAAAAATTTTCAAGTATTGTAAATATATAATTCTTAGTCCTCCTATTAAATACTTCCCATTTGATTAATATAAATAAATGCCCATTTCTCATTATAATTGGTTAAATACAAATCAATATTGCTTATTTTTAACAGTAAATATTTCACAACTTTATAAACTTTACGCTAAAATTTATTAAATTTTCTTTATCCCACTAATTTTAAAATAATTATGAACTTTTGTAAATTCGAAAAAAAATGATTTAGGTCACCATTTTATCTTTAAATTTAAAGTTATTCATATTTTTTTTGATATAGGCCATAACATAATCTTATATGAAAATTTTAGTTAAATGAAAATAATATAACACTTGTTTTGACATTAAAATTCATATATATGGGAAAATATTAAATATTGATAATTTTATATGACAAAGTAAGATAGGGATGGAGCTTTGCCATGTGTGTTAAAGGAACTAAGAGGAATAAGAAAGTGATTCAAAGAAACACCTGTAATTTGCTTTTAGTATTTCAATTTTAGTTTTTTTTGTTTGCGGGAAAGGGACAATTTTCTTTCCCAATTAATTTTAAAAAATTTAAGGATAGGGAATTGGGGTTCCTCAAGACACCAAAGATTAAAGAGATAAAAAATAATAAAAAAAATTTAAGAGGGACATATATTTATTGCATTTTTTAATTTCTTGGAGTTTTACAAGAGGTCAGAATTTCTATTGAAGGGAAATGAGGTAACACATGACACATCCCAGACAGGCCTTTTACCGCCCAGCCAAAGACATGTCATCTGGGCGCTTACCATCCTTATCTAAAACACCGGCAGAGAATCAAAGATTTGCCGACCAACCTATTCAGAAAATCATAGCATAAAAAGAGGCCGCTGACTTTATGACAAAAAAAACAATGGCTATAAAATGGATCAACTTGCTTAATACAGACATAAAACAACCTAGCCAATGGCCACTTTAGTATTTCGTCAATTCAGATATTATAGAAAACTGTAAAATTTTAAAAAGTTACTTTTAGGGGAAGAGATATCATGTTTTGAATATTATAATTTTATATGAACACTAAAATTTTATGGCCCTATATATATAGAAAAAAATATTACACAAGCCTTAAGATTTTACTTATAGATAGCACATTTGGAAAGCTTTTAGCCAAATCTCGAAGCTCAAGCAATAATTTAATAGGGAAAATATTGAGTTAGCAGTTTTTAAAAAATCGGCTTAAAATGAGCCATTTAACAGCATTGGTACAAAGTGCCAAACAACCCTGGTCTCATTTAATCACCAGCATTCCCTAACTAACTTAAATGGAACCGTTTTTCCCCCAAAGTATAATGGCAGCTTTCACTTACAAATAGACAGGTTTCTTGATTACTCTTAAACACGATATTCTATCTCGTCTTCATCTTATATCAACATATTGGCAAGTCAAAGTTAATTGATGAATGTTGAAATGTTCATAATAAACCATTATAATATTTGTATTTCAAGAGGGGGGGGGGGTTATAATCTGGGCATGATGTCTTTAATTTATTTTACATGCTTAGTTTACATAAAATCCAAATTTGGGTTGATTGATCTTGGAAAGATATTTTTTGATTTACTTTAATTTATTTATCACAAGATTTTAAATCATTTTGTTTATCTAATCATGAATCTCATTATCATGAAATACCATAAGGTTGTTTGTTATCCTTCAGCAGTGCCTTTAATTTTGTTGTAATTTTTCAACAAGTTCATATAAAAAAAAACTTATTCATACTTAAAATTAAATTTTGGAAGATATCAATCAGACTTGGATCTTATAAAAATCTTGGATCAGAATTTTAAAAATATTTTGGATTTGGGTTGGATCTGAAAATATAGATTCCAATGCTGGGCTCTATATTTTACAGATTTATAAGAGGAATTGATTTTTCTCAGGTTCTTGTCTAAATCATAGATTTTTATATAAGGTTAACCTTATGCCAATCATGGAACCAATGGGAAGGAAAGGGAAAAATTTCACCAACCCCTCCCATTGCAAATTTGCCTATTCTCGTAAATATCATTAAGATAATAACCCCTCCCCCCATATACCCCCCTCTCTCCAAAAAATTTATACAAATATATCATTATAGGAAGAATTTGAAAGGAAAATTAATAAAAGTTTATAATTTTAAAATTTAAAAAAAATAGGAATTTATGAGGAAAAAAAGGATTTTATTAAAAAAAATCTGAAAAACCATTTTTATAAAAATTTAATATAGCCAAAGGCCTATAATAAGTGGACCTAAAGATCTCAATAAAATTTATGGAAAATAAATTCATCTAATAGTGCTTTTCACAACCTTGACAAAATCCTGGATATACCTATGCCTTAATGCAGAATGAATAGAGGTAATAACATTTATTTTCTACTTGTGAAAATAATTTTATTTGTATTATTATTAATGACCCCCTTAACCCTCAGAATGATTGAATTAAAATATGAATATATTAAATTTGCATTTTCAGGTTTAAATTAAAATTGGTTAATATATAATTATATATCTGGAGTAGAAATATCAAATTTTATTTATTAATTAATTATAGCTACAATATTAGAAAATATAATACTGATCTGATCAATAAGTGAAATATAAATATTCAAGATTCTAAATTATTTGATGAATGTAAATTTGAGGGCTGTGGAAATTGCATTTGATGTCTCATTATAAATTTATTAGTTGACACATGATGTGGGTTTATATTATAAGAGGTTGGCCTTGAGTTTTGGCCAGATACAAACATTCTAGGTTGATTTATATTTTGAGAATCTTTAAAAAAAAATTAACAAAATTTTAAATTATATCGTTAACTTGAAATTTGATGGGAATATAAATTTTGATTAGTATATGGTTTTAGAGATCCTATATTGTACAGATTAGAGTTTGAGGTGACTGGATTAGCCTGATAATTAAATTATATCATATAGATTGATAAAAATATTACTCTATTTAAAGATTTCATTTTATAATTAGGTGCTAATAAACAATATCTGTCAGGTGGTAAATTCAATCCAATATGTTCTTTAATAAGTGGTAAGGGGTTGGAATTTTTTGATTTAGCAGCATCAATCAAAATCTATATTATTTCTAAATTCTAATAATTGCAGCTATAGTAAAATACATTATTTGCTACAACTCTTTTGTCCTGATTTTTGGTTCTATCATTAAATGATAATTTAACATCCTCTATGTCAATATTTCTTTTATTGGCATGATTGGAGTAAACTTTCGCATCTTCTAACACATCGGTTGTATATTCTTTATCAAATTAACATCATATTATTTTAGATAATAAATATACTATATGTAAAATCTAACAATATATTAATAAGAGAAGGTTGATATTCATAAACTCCTAGTTCTTTTAACATATTTTTTATCGTAATTGCATCTTTAGGAATGTTCTCAACTTTTTCCTTATTTGCAGACATTTATAAGATTTTGGACACGCTAAAAATAGTAATATGTTATAATGGCTTCCATTGAAGCGAGGAATCATATGTGTATTATTGGATAAATGCTGTGAGAAAAAATAATAGTAAAACCATTGAGTAAAACTCTTGATATCTAAACCTTAAACTTTCGAACCTTGTCAAATAAACAACGTATCTTGAATGTTTTTTCTAAGATATTCTGAAATATTTTAAAATTTTATATATTAAATATTTTTTCTAAGTATTTAAGAATATTTGTTATAATTATCTTTTAATGGCATAAAGCACATTTTAAAATTTATGTTAGCGAAGAGGTGGGGGTAAATTTATTGAGGTATGAACCAAAATGTCCCCTCCGTACTTACAACAATGGGTGAGAGAGACCAAAAAGAAATTGGCCAATTTATTTTCTATCACATTAGATAAAGGTTGCTCTTAAATCATTTTTTTTTTATTTACGAATAAATAAAAATAGATAAGAAGATTTTTTAAAATTAATCGAACGTAAAAAAACGAACGCGCTCTATAAAAAGAGGGAACACGTTCACGTTTAAAATTTGTCAAAAATAAAAGAAATGTCGTTAATCACTTTTTCCAAAACTAACTAACTTCGATCACGAACGCGTCAAGACATTCGTATTTACTATTATATTATCATTTCAGCTCTCTTATCTAATTCAGAATTTCAGGATTAATTATTTGACCACACTACCCTCTCAGACTTTGTAAACAAAATAAATATAACTCTTAACCATTATGGCACATAATTTTTATAAACTTAACATAAAAATTCTTTACTATTTAAGATAATCAGCCTATTTCCAAAAATCCTCCATAGTAAGATATCCTTTTAAATAAAATATTTTGTCATAATGCATAGTTTCTGTCGTGGACTTGCATAATTTTTAATAGATAATTATAAGGCAACCGTCAATCAACAATGTAGAAGTCCATATTTAATATTTCAGTTGTAAAATTATAAATTGTAAATGTCCATTTTATTCATAAAAATATCTAATTAAGATTATAAATAGCTTCCATATTTTCTCCAACCCAAAATGCACACAAAGAAAACTCCATTGTTCTTCGCCAAACCCCATGTGTTTACTCCTTTCAACTCTCATCCTCAGGAAAAATTAATTCTCATGTCAGAAAATGACTGATATTTAGTATATTTTATTAAATTAATTTCTTCTTTTTTTTAACGGCTACAACAAACAATATCGCATATTGTAGATTGGTTGGAATTAAATAATATAATAATACGAAATAATATGATTATTATGATATGAAAAGGTTTTTTTTTTCTCGATGATGTTAAGTTTTTGATCATTTTATAAAAATTCTTAAATTATTATGAATTATCTTTGGAACAAAAAATTATAATTGAAAATAATTCTTGTAGTGAAATTTAGATTTTGAGATAGTAAGAAGTGATAGATACAAGAGTAGGATAGTTTCAAATTACCCTATCTATAAAATGTGTGAGCATTTTTAAAAATACATTTGTATTTAAGAAATATTCATTCTATTTTTTTTAAATCCTAAATTTATTTAATTTTGAGCAACGTATGAAAACCCTGGTTAATTTACACAACGGAAAGCGAATTTTCATGCGGATTTGATTTCTCGAATTTATCGGTATGCATAGTTCGAAGCGAAATTAAGGTGGTAGTTCCTTAGGATGAAGGTTAAAACATCTGGACTTCTGCCGTCTGATCTGTGCAATCTTATGATCTCAGGATAGGAGATGTAGGTTCCTTTTAAAAGCTATAAATATTATGCGTTGTGTCGGTGACAATTTTTTGAAATTTTTTTCAGTGGAGACGCCGTCCGTTTTTCTTCACAATCGTATTGCATTCTGTGAGAAATTTTTATAGGGATCGATAATTGTTGGGATGAAAGATTAAGATCGAAATTTATTCGTAATCGCTACCAAGGTTCGCAAAGCTGATGCTGGAACGGAAGGATTAGACGAAATGTTCAATTGAATAAAAAATCTATCCCGCAAATTTAACGAGGGGAAGACTTCGAGTTCTATCGGAATCCCAGGATTGTATATGTTAGCGTCAACCTATTTTTTCCGGCCATTGTGTCATTTTCACAACTTTAAATCATTTTTTGAACGCGTTTTTTCAAAATTTAAAAAAAAATCTGATTTTATCGGAAATGTATTCTAATTATGTTTGGGAATTGTAGACAATTTTAACCTTTGAGTCATTTATAATTTAAATTTAAAAACAATATATATATATATATAAATTTATTTTTTAAATATTGATAAATTTTTTTCAATATTTAATTTATTCTAATCCGAAATGAAAACTGTTCTTATTCGGCTAATTATTTCAAATATTCTATTAAAAGGATTCTATTCCAAACCAAAAAAAATGGTATTTTGTTAACCTTTTTTTTTTACGTGCAAATTAATTGTAGTTTAGAGAGATTCACTATTTCTCCAGATCATTCGGTATTATTATATATATGTCGTGGGATTTCGTATCAGGCAGGGGTATGCTTCATTCCCTCGGGTTTTCAGGAAAATTAATAATATTTAGATCATTAATAACCCAAATTTGTTTTAGGTCTAACTTTGTCAGAGATGTATTCTAATGGTTATAGCGTGTATTTTTACCCCGTGAATTTTAGGCAATTTTGTTATAAATTTTTTTTTTGATTATCATTTAATTATTTATAAAATGAATGTTAATAAAAATTAAGAAAAATTAAGAGTAATTTAGGGTTCATGGCAAGGTTGTATATAGGAATAGGTATATTCTATGATAGTCAGTAGTTGTTAAAGGATCCAAATCATAAGGATCGATGATCCTAGATTCGATCCCAATGGCCCTTACAAGGGGGGGGGGGGTCCGAAGCAACTGCTTCAGTAAATTTGAGTGAGGGTACTTTTTTAAAAAATTTTTTTTATTATTTAATTCTTTTACTGTTTTGTTACATCTATCATGATCAAGTGATTTCTGGTTTATAAATGTAATAATAGACTCCACTTCATCAACTTAATATTTCGTTTAATATAATATTGACGAAATTTTTGGTCGATGTTTAGTAAATTAGGTTGTTATCCGAGATTTCTTGTCATAAATTATTTTTCCAATTTTAAAATATGCCTAAAAATATTAACCAAAAAAAAATACAAATGCTTAATTAAAAATTGCAAATCGCATAATATAAGAGATGATAAATGGATAGATCACATTAGAAAAAGGATGGTGGGCTTAATTTTAACGATATAAAGAAAAGCTTTGAAATAGTAGCTTTTAAGAATGTTACTCAAAATTGGAGAAATAGCAAAGTAATCTTTTTTATTAAATATTTAATTATTTATTCGAAAAAAGAAGTAAAAATTGGGAATTCAATGCTGTTGGTATAATAAATATTTTTAATTAATATTATCATCCTTTAAAAGTGTCTTAATAATAAAGAAAATGTGTTAGAAGGAAATATAGTATCTGATGATTCTGTAATGATCATGAAATTAGTGAACCTGAGGTCATTATATTACTCTTATTTTTATCTCTGCTATATTTTTTTATGGGCAGACACAGAGCAGAGATTTGATAAAGTAGAACAAGAAATTCCTATTATCTCTCTACTGGTAATAAATATTAATTTAGCTTTATTAAATTTTAATGAATACAATATATGCAGTTTAACGAAAGATTTAATGATGATTCGATGAAATTTTTACATCAAACATCATTTTATACGCCAAAGGGAATGGCAGAAAAATCAATTATTAAAGAAGATATCGAGGATATCTGTGAATTCAAATTTTCGAAGAAATGTTGAAGTTTAAAAATATTTATAAGATGACCAAAATGGGGAATGTAATTATTACTCCTGAAATCTAAAGATTTGTCAGATTCTGAGAAGTAAATTTATTTAATTAAAATATTTTTACTAATACATTATTTAGCTTCTTTTAAATGATGATGATAATTCAGGGGCTTAGGATTCAGATTGGAAAAACTATTCATTTATTTTACCTTATCGTCTACTTTTAAATTTTTCTGCTTTCCCTAATTTAAGAATTCTATATAAATATTTATTTACCATTCCTACACTACAACCTCATGTACTGCCGAAAGATTCATGAGTAAAATTAAATTAATTAAAACAAGACTTCGTAGTACCATGAAAGATTCATTTCTCAATAATTTAAAAAATTTATTTAAACAATTAAATATTGATTGTGAAAAGGTTAGCAGGGATCAAGGCAGAAAATAAAAGTTTTAAACGTATATTACGTGAATTTATTGATATTTAAATTAAAAAAATATAATGATCACATATTCAAAAATAGTTTGCTATATATATTGACAATGTAATTTATCATAAATTGATCTTTTTTTAAAAAGTTAAAAATAAAAAATTGAATATTAGTTTGTTAAGTAAATTGATTTATAAAATATAAAATTTAATATTAGTTTATAAACAAATTGATTTAAAATAAAAAAAGTTGTTTTTAACAAAAAGAAAGAAACAATTTTTATTACATTTGAAATATTTAAGTTACGCCATAAATGACTTAAGGATATAAAAAAAAAATTTTTTTAAAGTTAATATTATTTAACAGATTGCAATTATAAATTCTTTCGCCTTCTCTTCCCCTAAATTATCTAAATTATTAATTTAAAAATAATATTTATAAAGTATATATTTTTTGCATTTTATTTATATTATTATATTAAAAATTGATGCAATAAATTTTTTTTTTGTAATTTATGGGTGTCATAAAATAATTATCATTTTTAGAGAGGGGGGAGGGTACTTTTCAAGGGGGTACTTTTCAGGGGGTATTCTGTTTCATTCGCTCAGAAAGTGTAGGGGCCACTGTATCGATCCTAATTTTGGCAATCTACCCGGATTGATAGAGATCATTCCGTTAAATATTCGATTCTTCGATCCTTTTATTAATTAATTTTTTTTTACTTAAAAAGCATACAAAAATAAAATTTTAAATAAAATATTTTTTATTTAAAAAAAAATAGCTATCTCCATCATATTTTATATTTTCCCTCAGTTTTACTGATATCTATTATA